AACATCACTTGATTATCTGGTATATATGTTGCTGAGCTCCATCAGCAACTTTTCTCTGTGGAGTAACTAACGTGGATTTCTCCTCGCTACTCAAACACTGATTTTCAGCAAAACATGAAACTTCCTAAACATAATATATTTCAGATCTTTCTTAAGAAAATTTGGTGAAATGGCCAAGTTTAAGAAGTTTAAACTTCCCAGTTCCCCCTGGGGAAGGGGGGGTGGGGGGAAGGATAAAGAAAAGGAGGAGAAAATGGGAAGGATGGAGTGACAGACAAGATGCTTAGAATGATTTGAGTTTTCCTGTTGTTGAGATCACTGGCAGGCAAAACGAGGTGATGATGATTTACGGAGGTGGATTTAATGTCCTGTGAAAAAATTCACTCTGCCATGTCCTTTTCTTAACTCACATCATGCTCCTAGTTTGGACCATTTTACTGAGTATGTTTTACTTCATCTTATTGTTTTAAAGCCTGGTTTGTAAAGCTGATTCACATCTCCTTCAAACGCTGTCAAGGTCCATAAGTAGTGGTGAGATTTTTCTTGTCATAAAGTCAGTCCGAACTAGGTGCAATCTTGCGCCTTGTGATGACTTAGGGAATCTATCTAGAATTTATGAATTAGAGTGGATACTGAGAGTCATAATTTCTTTGTCAGGTTAGGAAGTCCAGAATCTCAAGGCTTGTTTGCAATGCAGAAAAGTTGAATGTTTGCAGAAGGAAGAACATAAAATAGCATTATTTCTCTTGTTAACCTCACCTTCCTCCAGCTAATCTGTTTTACCTCCACCTTATTCCTTTCAACCAGCATAACAAGCTGTGCTGTACTCTCTGGAAATTATACTGGCTCTTGCCTTTACTCACAAAAGGAGCAGGCTTGGCCCAGTGTGCTTTCTCTCAAGGGAAGCAAGAATTCATTGCTGAGTAAAGGTATTAATGGAGCGGGGCAGGAGAGCACACGCATGCAAAGTCCTGTCTACATCCAAAGTTACCATACGTACATCTGAGTCCTGCTGGTTTCCTTCCCATCTTCTTCCTCAGCCCTCCCAAAAACTCATTCTGACAATTTGCTGTAGCTTAATGTCAGATTGAATTATGCTTTTTTTAAGAGCAAAACACAGTTTTATTTACACGGCTGAGGAACTCGCAGCCAGCTCAGACTGTTGGCATTTAGGATTGGTATGGAAGGAAGCACTGAGCTGGTGGGCTGAGCTGTCCTCTGTGGGTGCTCGCTCTGCTGAGAAGCACCATAAGCCAATCTGCCTCTTTCAGTAAACAGAAAGTGAACAGTCTCCTCTCCTGTACTGGAAGTGAGATGACTCTCCTTATACAGAAAGGTTCTTTAAAACTAAGGTGAGAAAACAGGGGAGTTTTGGTTTGCTTTTGGTTTAAGCATAGACATTTTTCTCCTTCCTCTACAATGAAGATTATGGAAAAATACTCCCAAGGGTACTAGGGGTAGAGAAGAACAAAGAGACATGATCTAATAAAGCACTGACTTCCCACAACAACTTGTGTTAAATGCTGTGAAAGGACAAGTCGTAAAGACTAATTCCTAATATGAGTGTTCCTGGAGCAGTAAGTGCTAGGACACACACATGGTTTGTTTGTAATAAGGAAATACGCTGGAATCATTTCAGGAAATACTAAGAACTGAGTCATTAATAAACAAGAATTGCAATATAATTAGGCTAGATGTCTTTATGCAAACAGTCTTTCCCTTGAATAAACCAAGACCCACAAAAAAAAAAGTCCTAGTGCAGTATCAGGGCTGTAAGAGTTGGACTTCAGAATGAGAAGGCAGTTCCAAAAAATCCTCAGGTCAAAAGACAAGAATAGAATCAGGATACTGAAGTAAGTTGTAATGTTTTGAATATTGCTTGGAGTTCTGAAAAGTTTCTTTTCAGAGAAGGTGTTGATCTGTGGAAACACCTCCCCAAGACCCAGAACCTTAACATATCACCTCCAGTCTCCAGACTCTCTAGCTGTGTTTGAAGGTGTCTGCACAGTGCTTTGTTTAGACGTACTGATTTCTGAAAAACTGAAAGCCCCAATTTTGCTAGCTTCATCTAAATTTGCTTTTATCACCAGAAGAGATTGTAAAAAACGTGGAACAAAGACCTAGTAAAGAACATGTAAATATCCAATTATGTATGGAAATGAAGTTAGCAAATGATAATGAAATGTAAAACTCAATTCTGGATTACAGTTAACAAGACTCCTTGATTACTGGCTGCTCAGTGCTCATCATCTAGAGCTTGATCTTCCTCCTGGAGCATTTACAGAATCTCTCAACCAGTGTTGTGATTCAACCCCAGCCAGCAACTAAGTACCACACAGCCACTCGCTCGCTCCCCCTCGGTGGGATGGGGGAGAGAATCAGAAGGGTAAAAGTGAGAAAATTCATGAGTTGAGATAAAAGTTTAATAAGTAAAGCAAAAGCGGTGCATGCAAGCAAAGCAAAACAAGGAATTCATTCCCTGCTTCCCATTGACAGGCAGGGCTCCATCACGTGTAACAGTTACTTGGGAAGACAAACACCATCACTGAACATCTCCCCCTTCCTTCTTTCCCCAGCTTTGTATGCTGAGCTTGAAATCGTATGGTATGGAGTATCCCTTTGGTCAGTTGGGGTCAGCCATCCCAGCTGTGTCCCCTCCCAACTTCTTGTGCACCCCCAGCCTACTCACTGGTGGGGTGGGGTGAGAAGCAGAAAAGGCCTTGACTCTGTGTAAGCACTGCTCAGCGATAATGAAAACATCTCTGCGTTATCAATACTATTTCCATCACAAATCCAAAACATAGCCCCATACTAGCTGCTATGAAGAAAATTAACTCTGTCCCAGTCAAAACCGGGACAATCAGTCAGGGCTGTCTCTCCTGGACTTGGCCACTTGCATAGTCTTTTAAAAGAATCATGCTTCCCTTCAGTATAGACAAAGTATTTGGGGTGTAACTGGAGGCTTTTACCTTTCAATAGTGAAAATACTCCAGGATGTCTTCTGAACTGCTCACTTTCCTGTCCTAGCAGACAGATTTCTTTGTGGTAGCTTTAAACAGCTTTTCCAGATCCATCTGGTGCTATGAATGTCCAATGACATACTATGTATTGTGAAGGCTGTTAATGTGTGGCAGGTCTTGACCTCTGTCTTTTGGTATGGTCTCAGCCACGTGTGGAGACCTTAAGTGGTGCACTGCCATTAGAAGTGCCAGAAGGAGCCTAGCCCAGACTGCCATCCTACTTCTCCTCATGTGTACATTTTAGACCACCTTATGTCAAAGTGACCCCATCAATTTGGTGAGGGTTGAGAAAAGACATGATACATTTGGGAGTTTAGAAGTTATATAATTCTCTTTGTCTTTTTTTGTGGATTAAAAAAAAAAAAAGCGAGAAGGCACTCCTTTTTTTAAGGAGATGGAAACCCCTCTGACCTGTGTGCATTGGAGGTCTGGCTTCTAGGTATTGAGGCGGAAGTGGATTCTTACATACCCATATATAAATGAGGAAGGAAAAAATGTAAAGATTAGATTATTTCAGACAAATGGAGGTGAGAAAGTGAAAATACACCCCCTCTTTGAAGAAAGACGTGTAAATTATGCTAAGTAGAACATCTAGAAGAGCTAAGAAGGTGTTAGGAAGAGTTAACAATGGAAGCATATGCACAAAAAGTGTCTATGGAAGCCTATATCTAAGAAGCAGGACTTTACAGAGAATCGGTGGGTTTGGGAGACTTGAGGGAATGAGAACCATCCAGAAGGACACAGATATGTTGAAGAGAGTATTTGCTCAGTTTTCAGCATGCTGAATGTTGGGGTGATGCCTACTCTTTTAGGTGCTTAAAAAAATTTAGTTATTTCTAGGCAGGACATTAAAACATGCTGATATATTCACAAGCAGCAGTTCAGTTAAAGTAATATATTTCCAGAAGAGCTAGAGGAATTAAAAAGTGATAGTTGATGCTAAAATTACTTATTGAAATAGTGAAGTCTTGGACATGGAAGGGTAGCAAGCATTGTCTTCCAAAGTGATGCTCTCAGATCTGCTGAGAATAATCGGCATCCATCTTGCTCTGGAGTATCTGAGACTAGCTGCTCAGATAGAATTATTAAACTAACGAGATCACTGATCAATCTGACAGTTTGTGCATTAAGGAAGAAACAAGCCTGAACAATAGGAAGCGGAACGTTCTTGTGTTTTGAGTTAATCTTGTTGAACTAATCTTGTTCTTCAGCGTGTGGTAGTGGGAGCACTTTATAGAAATGTGCTTTCAGAATGTTGTTTTTATGACTAGCTCTAGAAACCTTAATTCTTTTAATACATCTAAAGCAGAAAGCTGTATAAAATGAACTGGGACTGAGTTTTTCCTTGGTATAAACTGTTAGTAAGGTTCCAGTAAGAGCATCATAAACATCAATTTGAAAATCATGCCTGACCTCCTATCTTTTCAGAAGCAAAAGGACATTTATTTCCTAGAAACAAAATAAAAACTGGAGGGATTATGTTCTATGAAGAATACTCTATATGTAAAAACACTCTATGATGGGAAATTGCCAGTGGCAGATGAAATTTGGTTCAGAAATAATCAAACTTTTAATTAGAAACATGAGCAAATTGCTCTAACATGTGCTAGGTTTTCCTTTCACATTATGCATCTTTTTGTGAAATTGTGTTCAAGGCCAGGTTGGATGAGGCTTTGGGCAACCTGGTGTAGTGGAGGATTTCTCTGCCCATGGCTGGGGGGTTGGAACTAGATGATCTTTAAGGTCCCTTCTAACCCTAACCATTCTGTGATTCTATGATTCTAAATTGTTGGTACAGATAAGGTACTCTAAATGCACCTTGTATTTCTGGTAAAACAAACTTATCTGTGACTTTTACAGGGAAAATGTGAAGATAATATTTTATCACAATACTATGACACATTCTGATATTTATGTGAAACTTGGGGTTTAAATATGTTTTAAGAGAATTAAAAAGTGGGGTTTTTTTTAACTTTATAGCATTGCCGATGCATGGGAAAATGATATTGGAGTTCATCCTTTAAAGTTTCCATCACAAACATGTTTGGAATTACTGCTGATACTGGGTTTGAGTACCGCTTCTCTGCCACCTTCACTTCAATGCATGAACTCTTTTCAGGTAAGGAACAGCTGCTATTTCAGTATAAAGGTGTTACTTGTAGGAAAAAGAGAAATGCCTGGGGCCCGTAGACCCTTTCAGAGTAAAGGTTTATCTTCTGTACTCGTATGACTCTGCATTATATTAAATATAGCAATGGAGACCTTCTTGTAGTGCTCAGTTTCTTTCAATTACATTAAATGTAGACCAAGGCAGGAAATGTCATTGGATTTTTAAACAGAAATCACTGTTGAAATTAAATTAAATGTTTAAAGAAATTTCATCAAACTTAGGCTGGAGTAGCTAGAATCATTATATAAAATCTTTTTGGCTTCAAAACAACAAAAAAAAATATTTCCAGTGGTGAAAACCTGTAAAATTAGAAGTGAAGCATTGACCGTTTTGTCCAGTGTTCTGTATGTTACTGCTGAAGTTCACAGCAGTCATAGAAATTTTCCTAAGAAAACGTTGTTGCAGGCATGTTAAATTGTGATTTGTATTTACCGTGTGTCTGAAGATGTAAGATTTTTTACAAATGAAATATACAGACATCTCAATTTGTGATGGTACGGTGTATCAGCTTAACCTTTTTATGATGCTTCTGTCTTCCCTTGTAGTTACATAGTCCATCAGTTGTGTATTGATGCAAATCTAAAGTAACCAACTGTTGAGCAGTAAGTGTACCTGAATCTGTTTGTTTTGAGAGCTGTAGCAGAATCATCACTTTAGTGGGACTAAGTGTCCTAAACAGTTTATAGGACGAAATCTGGTAGCTTCTATTTGTCCATACTCCCAATTTGTAGTTAAGGCACATTTAATTAGTGTTCCTTAGTTACGCTTACTGAAAAATAATCTTATTGTAGAATTTTGGAGCCAGAAAGAACATGGTCATAAACCAAACTCAGGTAAGTGATTTTAATAGAGTTACAGTGATATGCAACTGCTGAAAGCACGTCTAGATGTTAGGAAATAAGTATGCACCTGCATTGTTTGCTCCCTTTGCATCTTGTGAGCTTGGAAACAGAGGATCTGTGTATGGTGAATTCTCAGGTATGACAGCAGCTATTGATCATTTCAGCATGATATTTTAGTAGACAAGATCAGAATTGTCATTGGATTGTACAATCGGAGGCCATAAAATTGAAGAATCTCCTGGATGCCGACAGACTGAGATCATAAAAATTACAAGTTTCAAGGATTGGCTAGTACTAGTTATCCATGCAGTTGAATAATCCGTATTTCCTATTAAGAAGTGAACATTTTGGTTGCCTAATCCAGGAAGATGTATTCCTTGTCCATTACATTGCCAGTAATCTATGGTAGAGTCTTCTCTGCTTTAGCCATAACAGGTTAAATAGGAAACTCTTCTTGTATGCAGAGGCTGTATGTCCTGTCTTGTTTCTGTGCATACTCAGTCCCAGGTTGTACATTTAGGATTCCTTTGATTTGTATATCCGGATAGAGATAGGAAGCGATAAACGACTGTCAACTGGTGCAGATACGAACTGGTAAACTCAGGAAAGGTTTTTACCTCAGAGTACATAAAAAAACCAGACTTTTCTTTTTCCTTGTCACACTCTTTATGATTGTGCTTGGTTGCTCCTGGGTTGTTTTAGCTTCATGAGACTGTCTCTGGAAATGAACTGTCACCCTGGGGACCTGCCACACATGGCCTGGAAGCGAGTCAGGGGTGGGTTATGGCAGCTGTGGGGTAGGAAGGCCCCATACATCTCGTGGACACCCTCTGACGATGGCATTTCAAACTCAAATTTCGGTGGAATCGCTGAACGCAAACGGCGCAGTGCTTTGCTGAACAGAAGTACTGAGGGGGACGGTGTCTTCCAGCACTGGCCTGCGCAGATCTTAGTTTGCCCGCCTGCGTGCCAGAGTAGGTGATGTGACAATGTCCAGTCGTGGTTGCGAACATGATTTCAGGCTGAAGATACTATATTTTGAGTTGATTCTCAGCTTTCATAGCAACACAAAAAGCAAAAATTCATAGTTTTTGAAAAGCCCAAGTTCTGAGACCTGCTCTGCTAAGACAATACTATATTTTGCCAAGTGAGAGGAAAGGAAAATGGCTGTTTTGATAAACTTCCTGCTTCAACTTTCACTCTCCTTGCTAGACGCTCAATATCACCAAATGTTTGTCCTAGAGGGCAAACACTGTCCAGGAAAATATTGTTTTATTTATTTTTATCCTTGAAAACCTTGTTTGGATATCAGTTTGTGAATCCGTGAAGCCAAGAAACAAAGTTTGCCCGAGCTCTTCACTGATGCTTTACAATGGGCTGTAAGCCTTATCATTTTTTTTTTTGGCTTGCTTCTTTGTACTCATGTTCACTTTCTGTACAGCAAATATTAGAATTAAGTGTCCCAGTTTTTCTGTATTTTTCTTTGAAAAAGTTGGCAAGATCTGCAGAGAGCTTGAATAATGGTATTAAACTGTGCTGTTGCTTGAGCATAAGATCCCGCTGTGTCCAAAGTTGTGAAGATTGTTAGAATCTTCTTGTGAGAACGGAGAATAATGAAAGGGAACTAATTAAAAATTGGTATTTCATATGTCTCAGTGGAGTAATGGCAAAATGACAAAAACTAGTTTTGTTGTATTTGTGGCAGACCTAGACCTGGTGGTAGTCTAGAAAAAAAATAAAAATTTTAATTCTATATTACAATAATCCTTGTATTTGAACTTAAAGCAGTCGCAGAGTTTCCTGTTATCCATACGCGGCCGTCTTGTTCAACAGGAGGTCAGGCTCTCGCGGCGGAACGCTGGTGTCTGAATGCTGGGGGAGTTAGAAGGGGAATGATCCCAGAAAGTGCTAGAGTTTTCTCTTTTCATGAGCGTTCCCACTGTTTGACGCGTGGTGTGGAGCTAAATGGACCACTAGTTTCCACTGGCGCTTTTCTTGAAGATTTGATACAATATTTGAAATTGTATCTAACAGGCAGCTGTATAAGTAGTGATCTTAGAGTTTAACTTGTGGTATTGTGTCAGTATAGCTTAAAAAAATCTAATTGTTTTTCGTTAGGTTGCCAAAAATGATCTCACTCACATCCCTGTGTTGTTTGATACTATAGTTACCCTCTCTCCCTATTATTTTACGATATTGTAGTGTTGACAAGCCAAAATTTTAGTTGGTATACATATGCATTGGATGATATTTAGGTTGTAAAAAACGCACGAAGGAAATGTGCTTAGTTGCTAATCATCTCTGTAATAAACTCTGTTCTGCTTTCTGCTCTAGAATTGCTCTCTGGGACTAGCTTAGCAGACTCCGTATCTGTGCTGAGATATAAATTACATTTTATTTTCCAATGAGGCGCTACTGCTTAGTAGCATAATATTTGAAATCACTTTTCAATTTCGTTTTGACCCTGTGAGAATCTTTCAGTGTGATTTATGTCACTGGAGGAGCCTGGAAGAGAGAAGCAGCAGCAGACAGTGTTACGTAGCTCCCTGCTGAGTTTAAGGTGCTCACTGCAGCTGGCTTTTAAGCTTCCCAGGCCATTGATCCTAGATACCAGATTGTCTTTGGTTCATCTCTTACTTTACCTGAGCAGTTACATTGACGTTGTTCTGGTGAACTGTAGAGAGTTAAATCTTAGGAAGCTTGAGCCTGGAAACTCTGAGGGACCAAAGTGGGTAGACTAAGTCTTGCTGGTTGATGCCTGCCCCTCGTTTTACTGGAGAACGTGGATTTGCAGCCCTGACTTGCGCATTCCCATGCTTGTAATCCCTCACCCATACTAAGGATGTCTCAGATCAAGGGAATAAGATTGGCTGAGGCACTTGATATTTATCTGGAGCAATGCAGAAATCAGTAAGAAGGGAGAGAGGAGTTGGCTACTAAAGAAGATTAAAATATTTTTTAGCTTGCTTTTGCTCTGAGCATTGTTTTGCCCTCACTGTTCTCTCTTCACGTCCGTTACACTGTATGGAAAGCTACCAGATTACACTCTTGATCTATCTGGTTCTCCACCCACCTGAGCTGCCAGCCCTTTGGTTTAGGAACAGTTGGGCTTGACACTGTGTATTATTCTTAATACTTGCAAGCACTTGTAGCTAGCACCCACTTGAGTTATCATGTACTTTTATCGCTGAACTGTTCAGCTGCTACTCCGCAGCGCAGTCTGGAAGGATGTGTTGGTACTTCAGAGCCTACAACACAAAACAGTTAGCACGGGGAGATGCTTTAAAGTGACAAGTAATCTCTGTTGTGTTTTGCTAACCTTATCTCCTCTTTCTCTGAATCCAAGCACAGTGAACAGAAAACGTCCTGGATATTGAATTCTTATGATGATATATGGGGCCGTTCAGCACATCCTCTCTCACTGCTGTTATTGCGGGAAACCAGGCATTTTGCTTCCTGTATCAAGGCACTATTCATAAGGCCACAGGCTGTAACAAGAGCTCTGAGAGCTAAATAGATCACCGTTTTATTTTTACTTTTACAGCTGCATGAAATTGAAAGCAAGATTGTGATTAAGAACTGCCGAGCAGTTTCAAAATTTCGTTTGAAATAACCCTTGATATTCTTTGGTGCTGCACCCAACGCCACTGGTAGCTTATGAGCACGCTGTCCACTTTGGTGAAGAGAAATAGAGCCAGTGTTTAAGGAAAACTAAAAAGTGTTCATTCTGTTGTTGCAGTAAGCATTCCTAGAGGTGTCTCTGATGGAAAAACTCATTTCAATTACTTTGCTTCCAAAAACAGTAGGAAAAAAAAAAAGTTTATCAGAGAGCAGCCTGTCAAGTTCTCTATCATTTAAAGTCTTTTAATAAAGTGCAGAAAACTTCCTAAACGTGACAGCTTTAGAGATATAAAGTAGCAAGTTGTTCAGAAAACATAAGAATGGATAAATACAATATTCATTATAGTTTAATGACTCTAGTATATGAGTATCAAAAGTACTCAAAAGACTCATAGAAGGCAAAATTCAAAATTACTGCTGTATGTCAGGTCTACACATGGTCTGAACTAAAGTGTGCCTTGATATTCAGTGTTTTTTAATACTGATACTTTTATTTTTTATGTGTGTATATATAGAGATATAAAAAGCACTTTCAAACTCGTTTATTGCAAAAAGAAGTTAGCTGAAGACAGAGGACAGTTGCAGATGCACCTATGTTTTCTGAAAATCCTTTTTGAAGCACACAGCTAAGTAAAATTTAGAGAAATCCACTCAGCTCAGATCCTCCTTTTGTTCCATTCTGGGCATTTGGAGCTGGAGAAGTTGCACAGATTCTTTTAAGTTGGACTTCATGCCTTTGGAGCAGTCAGACAGCACCAAAGATACTCTGGTTCAGAATGATTTAGGAAATAGTGATACATGGAATTAAAATATCAAGAGGGAAGGAATGGCTTTCAAAATATTGTGTCTTTTATTAAACTATCCCAGAAAGTCTATTTATGCAGTAAAATAGTTTATTATTTTAAACATTTTTTTAAAATTACACTCTGTATTACTTACTGAGGATCTTCCACCAAATGAATTATAGATTTGAATACGTATATTCTGTAATATTTTGCAGACAATGGATGCATTCCTAAATACCATGGGATTTTTTTTTTAAGAGGCTTTTTAATACTTCTTTGAAGCTCACGAACTGCTTATGTCTCTGAAACTTCTGAATGAGCATTGACAGTAATATGGAGAAACTACTGGAAATTCATTGCAGTCTCTGTTGAAATGCAGTCATTTTTGTTTCCCTTAACTGACTGGCTTTACAAAACGTAAACTACAACGAGGAAACCAAGTGTAGTTAGTGTCAGCTCTTTTGGCTGCTCCTATTTCCCTCAAACTAAAGGTGTTTTTGTTTTTGCAGATTAGTAGAGAAGTGCCTGCTATGTGCTTTTTCTAGTTTTGACTAACTCGGATAGGTTGCCAGGATTACATAGGAT